CTGCAGGGGAGGAATTCTATGTAGGAAACTGGGATTTGGGTTTGATAACCTGTAGCCTCTGAGAGGATCATTATACCGTGTGTAGTATTAACTCCATTCAAAAGTAGCATGCACACACGCACACACACATGCACACCACACACACACACACACACACACAAACACACACAAACACACACAAACACACACACACACACACACACACACACACACACACACACACGTGCGCGCGCGCGCGCGCTTTTCATCTATTTCTTCTCTTAGCCTGAAAAATAGAAGAGGGATTCTCTTGAGACATTTTAAAATCTTGAAAGATAAATTTGTAAAGTCCAAGGATATATTTACAGTTGTTACTGAAAATGTTTTTCACAGAGAGGTTAAGACATTAACAATTACAGTATTAGAGCACAGACACTGTAAAGGGGAGGAAGGACTAACTGGGGCCAAGAGTTTAAGTAGAGGCGTGAGCAGAGGACAAGGTGTAGAGAGCGATAACTAACACTGAGCATGTTTGCAAAGCCATATAGAAGCTTACTCTTTGATTAGCTTCTTAGCTATGTATACATATATTAAAGATTTATTTTTAATTAGTTTTGTTTATGTATATGATGCATGTATATCTTTGTGTTGGCATGTGCACATGAGCACAAGTGCCAGTAGAGGCCAAAAGAAAGTGTCAAATTCTCTAGAGCTGGAGTTACAGGCAGCTGTGAGCCATCTCACATGGGAGCCAGGAATCAACTCTGGTCCTCAGGAAGAGCAGTACATACTCTTAACAGCTGACCCATCCCTTCAGCATATGATTAACATTCTGTATGTGTGTGTGTGTGTGTGTGCGCGTGCACATGCGTGTGTGTCGTGTGTCCCCATAGGTGTTCCTGTAGGTATGTACACATTTGGATAGGTGCTGGTGGATGTCAGAGGACCCCTGTAGAGCTGGAATTTCAGTTGGTTGTGAGCCATCTGACAGGAGTGCTGAGAATAAAATTTGGGTCGTTAAAAAAAATAGCAAGCATTCTTAAGAACAGAGCCATCTCCCCAGCCCTGCAATGTTTTTTTTTTTTTTAAATAGATATATTCCATGATAAAGAAAAAAAAAATGTACCACACTTGTATGATAAAGCACAGTCTTTGAAACAGGATTAGATGGTGGAGAGGGGAGAGGCCATCCCTGTAAGGTGTTTTATGCTGTAAGATTTGTTTCATTTCTACAAACCATTGATAGGAATTGTAGTTCATTTCCTCCATGGTAGGCAATATTTAAATGCAAAGTATTTCCAAGATGCTGCCAAAATATTGGTGTAATGTGAAACTGTAAGTAACACACTATTGAGCTGTTTTTCGATTGGGATAGGTGGAGGCAGAAATGGTTAACTAAAGATGGTTTAAACACGCAAGTCTAACTATAATGAAATAAAGAAATATAATTCACTATGCAAAGAGTTCATTTTAAAGAATTGTACTTAGACCCCTTATTGCACTCTCTGTCCCAAAGGCCTACCTACAGAGCTGGCGCTAGCAGCACCTCATCTACCACAGCTGAGGGTTGGAATGCTGATCTGGGGGTGAAGTACTCCTTGTTAGACTTAATTTTCTTTCTTAGAATTTTTAATAATCTTTAATCTTTTCCTCATTTAATTAATACTTAAATTTCATACAGTTCATTTTAACCATATTTATTCCCTTCCCCAACTCTTTCCATTTCTGACCCACTTCTCTACATAATTATGTGTCTTTTTTATAAATCTTAAAAATTACAGTTATTTATTTATTGATTGATTGCTTGGTTGATTGATTGATTGTGTGTGTGTATGTGTGTCTCTGTGTGATCTCATGTGGCAGGCAGAGGATAACTTGCTAGATTCAGTTCTTTATTTCCATCATGTATGTCTTACGCATAAAATGCAGGTTCATGGATCAAATTCAGATCACCATGCCTGACAACAGGTGCTTTCAGCTTTCCACATTCTCCATCTTCCATCCCCCATCCTTGCCTCTTTTCTTTTAAATACATAGAGTCCATTATTTTCAAACATTT